CAAAGGGCTCCGTGCTCAGAGCCCCAGCGCCAGGCGGGGGCAACGGGCCTGGGGGCAGGGGCCCAGCTGAGGTCCAGCAAGCTCAGCGCATGTGGGACTCCCGATCCCCCGGCCCCAGAGGCCCCTTGCCTTCCGCCATCCCCACCCCCCCGTGTAACCCCAGCCGCCCAGGGCCGTGACTGGAATCGACATCGGAGAAGCCCAGCGTCGGGGTTGCCATGGCAGCCGGCCTGGGCTCCCTTTCATGCCGCTCTCCGTGGACTGCTGACAGCGGATGAATATTGCACAGGGGTGGCGGGTTGGGTTCCCCGGCCAACAGGGACGGCCCTGCAGCCTCCTGGGCCCTGCTCCTGTGGGCAGAGTCTGCTGGGGGGCTAGGTCTCATGGGCCCCTTTGCCCTCCTGCCTCCTGCTAAGCTTCCCCCTGCCCGGCTGGCCGGGGGGGGGGGAGGGCTGCCCCATGGTGGGGCTGGGAGACCCCACTCCCACACCTGATCCCAGGCTACGCTGCCCACGTTGGCCCCCGGGCTCCAGGGGTCGGCTGTGCTTGGCGTGGGGTTCCTCCAAGGGCCAGCCCCGGGCACTGGTGCTCCGTGAGAGGGGACAGGTTTGGGGAGGGGGCTGGCCTTGTGCTTGCCATGGACCTGGGCAGTTCTGCTCCATCTCTGCCCCTTATTGACTGTGGACAGTGCCCCCCCATGCCTGATTGCCCCCCGGTAGGGAACAGGCACCTCGCCCTGGGGAGCAAGGCACCGCCCAGCTTCCGAAAGTCCCTCACGCGTCCTCCTGCCCCTCACAAGCACATGTTCAACCGAGACCTCCCCTCCCCGCCGCAGCGGGGCCTGGGCAGAGCAGAGGTTACAATGGGGAGCCTCTCCGCTTTCCTGGGGTCTCAGGTTTCACTGCAGACTGAATTCATTAGCAGAGCTGTGGGGCTGCCTTCCCCCTCCCCCTTTCCTCTGCCTGTGGGGCTGGCTGCTGGCCAGCCCCCTCCCCTGGCCTGGGCCCAGCTCTCCCAGAACTAGGGTCTGTGGAGAGGCGGGGGCGCTGAAATCTGGCCTCCTTGTGGAGTCTCCCCGGAGACTTGGCACATGGGACCCAAGTTTGGTGTTGAACTTTGGGGTTCAAAACCAGCCCCCCCCCGCTGTGAAATTCTTGGGGGGCGAGGGAAGCGGATCAAAGCGAGCCCCAGGGAATGCCTGTGCGGAGACCCTGTAAAACCAAGCAAGTGCGGTCCCTGCGGCTGTCACCAATCTGGCCTCCTTGTGGAGTCTCCCCGGAGACTTGGCACATGGGACCCAAGTTTGGTGTTGAACTTTGGGGTTCAAAACCAGCCCCCCCCCGCTGTGAAATTCTTGGGGGGCGAGGGAAGCGGATCAAAGCGAGCCCCAGGGAATGCCTGTGCGGAGACCCTGTAAAACCAAGCAAGTGCGGTCCCTGCGGCTGTCACCGATTGTGGGGCTTTGTTTGCCCACTTACTCCCCCTCCCGCCACTGCCTGGCGTGTGTGTGGGGCGGACTTGTAATCCCCCTGGCATGGCTGCTGGGCTGAATGATCTGAGGGCCTGGCTGATCTCTGCAGACTAGGAGGAAGGGTTAAAAAACCAGGCGTGTTGGCTCTTGAGGAAAAGACTTGGTGGACAGAGGCGGCACCTGACAACAGTCTTTAAATATGTGACGGGCTATTAATGGAGGTCGGTGGTCACCTGGTCTCCATGTGCGCTGAAGAGGGCGCGAGCAGGGATGGGCGTAATCGGCAGCAAAGGCGCCGGCGGTGAGACGGGAACAGCTTGCCTGGGGAGACGGTGGAACCCCCGAGCCACGGTGGGCCCGAGTGTGTCTGGGGCGGGCTGGGTGTGCCCGGCCCCGCCGCAGAGCAGAGACGGACTCCCACGGTCCCTCCCAGCCCCACATTTCTGCGTCCAGAGCCAGGGGCGCCTGCGGTATCCGGACGGGAGCGAGGGCTTGTGAGGACTGAACTGGACTCTAGCCAAACTAAGGGCCTGTCTCCATGGCCACTTTACCGCACTTTCACATTCAGGGGTGTGAAAAAACACCCCCCGTCCCGCGGGCGCAGTAGGTTCCAGGGTGCAAAGCGCCAGGGCAGACGGGCTCCCAGAACTGCGAGTGGCCCTTGTGGAGGGGGATTTCCTGGCTCTGCCCCTCGGCTCCCCGTAGTATCCCCAGACCAGTATTCCATGTGCTCACTGCCCATCGCTTCACAAACTGTAAGGCCGGAGGAATCCACTGTGATCATCTCGTTTCTCCCCCCCCCCCCCGCACCTCGGTACAACACAGGCCATGGGGGGGTCCCTGTATTACTCCCAGGTTTGCGTACAGTGACTGTGCTTGGACAGGCGCAGATCTTGTGTACACAGCCAGCCTTTCTTGATTTAGAAATGGTCAGTCCCGGCGAGTCCACCACCGCCCTTGGTAAATTGTTCTGACAGTCAGTTACCCTCGCTGGTAAAAATGCGCACTGCATTGTCCATCTGAATTTGTCTCATTTCGACTTCCAGCCATTGGATCTTGTGATACCCTTTTCGGCTAGATCCAAGACTCTGTTATCAAATATGCATTCCCCATGGAGATAGGTGTAGCCGGGCTTGGATGGCTTAGTCAGAGCGACCCTGTCATCTTGGAAGGATTTGGTTTTTATCAGGAAATGTCAATTTCGCCACACACACACCCCGACGAAAAAATCGTTCCATTGATACTAATCTAAATTTCCAGAGAGGCAAAGGAAGAGAAACGCTGCTGAGAACTTTAGAGCCTGGTTTCTTGAATGCCTGTTTCCGTTGTCTGGTTTGACGTGTGACGCTGGCGATTTACATTTTAACGGTTATAAAGCGCGGCCTTTCTGAATCTCAACCCCTATTGTCATTAAAGAATTGTCTGGCCTCCCCCTAGCGTTTTCCACGAACCCACACGTTGAAATAGATTAAAAATGGGGGAAATGCTTGACAGGAGCATCGCTTGTATCTGTTGAAACGATAGATCTCCAGTCCCGTTGCATCGCAGTCAGAGTGCAACCAAGTCGGCTCTTCCCTGTCTCGCTGAGCGGCGCAGACCCCGCTTCTGCGGCCTGGCCGGGCAGTGCCTGTCTCCTGCCACGGAAAGGCGTGGGTGTCATTCTGTCTCTGTGGCAGTGGCGTGCCCTGGTGTGGCTTGCGGCCACTGTGAGCTAACCCTGCTGCTGGAAGTGGCACCGAGAGGTGATTCTCTGGGCTGTTTCCCTTTCTGCCATCCCCGGAGCAGCCTCCTTGCTGTGGTCCCAGCAGTGGGATTCCTGTTCTAGAAAGGGGGAGCGTTGAGGGCTGGGTCCTTGGGCCAGGTCTTGGGACTAGCTCCCGTCAGGGCGGCTGGAAGGACGGACCAAGTCCCAGTGCTGGAGGGGAAGGGGCTCACAGCTGCGAGTCTAAATACAAGCAAGGCAGGTGGTGAGACCCCCCCCCCCCAGCGTCTTCCCACAAGTGGTGTTCCCAGCACACAGAGCAGCTGCCCCTGCTGTGACAGCCGGCTCGTGACATGGCCCTGCCTAGACGGAGCCAGGAGCAGCAGGCTACTGCTCGGAGCGGGCCCCTCCCTCTGCACGGCCTGGCCTCTCAAGCCAGTGCTGGGAGAGAAAGCGGCCGCTGGGCGCTGAACACGCTGCCTGAGCCTGGCCCTGTGCTGTCGGGGGGCAGAGACGGGGCTCCCCGAGAGAGTCCGAGCCCAGCCATGTTTTGGGAGCACAGGTTCAGTAGCAATGGGGGGTGGCGCTGGCCAGCTCCCATAGATGCTGGAGCCAAGGGCCAGCTCAGCCCAGTTTCTTCCCCTGGACGAGTGACTCCGGCCTGATCCTTCACCCCTCCCAGGGGAAAGTTCTGAAGCTCCCCCAACCTTGCTGGGTCGGTTACTCTCCTGGGTACCCCGGGGCGGGCGCGGAACCTGGCAGGTTCAGTAGCAATGGGGGGTGGCGCTGGCCAGCTCCCATAGATGCTGGAGCCAAGGGCCAGCTCAGCCCAGTTTCTTCCCCTGGACGAGTGACTCCGGCCTGATCCTTCACCCCTCCCAGGGGAAAGTTCTGAAGCTCCCCCAACCTTGCTGGGTCGGTTACTCTCCTGGGTACCCCGGGGCGGGCGCGGAACCTGGG